ACTTTTGACATGAGCAATAACCGGTTCATATTTCTTCTCGTCTTGTATCAGGAAGTGTAGCAAAATAATCCAGTCATAGGGGTTTAAGCAAGGAAGATCTACAAGTGAAAACTCAACCACTGAATTTGCCGAACCTCGAGTTGTTTTGAATTTAACATTAATGAAGCTCTCGATTTAAATAGGGCTAATCACTTTGATAGAATTGATCTCCTGGGAACTCCATTCTGGAACTGAGGTTTTCCATGCTTCAAATGAAAATTCATTAGAGACTTGTATGCATTCGCATCAGAGTCTGGAGCGTTTTCAACCGCATCAAAACATCGGAAACAAGAATGCTTTCGGTGTGATGGGGTAGTCAAACTGCGAATCGAGAGTGTTCTCCAGATCGAAAGAAGTAACTTCTTCCAACCAGTAAAGGCTTGGATTTTCTACTAGTTCATTCAGTATTCGCTCCATGGACCAAGGAGGAAATAGCAGTTTTTGGCAGCTAAAACAGTTTGAGCATCACGTTCTACCTTTTCTTTTTCTTCTACCTCCCTAATAATGCGTAAGTTTTCATCAAGAATGGCAACACGAGCCTTGCTCTTTAATTTCTATTTTTCATTACCCTTCGGTTTAGAATCAAATACCTTTAGCTTCGCTTGTTCACAGACTTTCTTGGGTGTAGGTTTCTTAGATTCTCCCCCTTGTTTTGGAAGTGAGGAAAACTCCAAAACACCCTCAAGGCGATTGAGCATGGTGAATGAAGGGTGGAGTTTATCCACTAGATGCTTGCGAACAGTGACTAGGATCAGTGGATCACGAGCTTCAACAATGTTTGATAGCAGTGAGTTGACATCGAAAACACTGCTTTTTGCGATAGCTCTCTCAGATAAGAGCTCATCGACTTTCTTCTCAGCAGACGCGAGCTTCACAGTGAGTATTTTCACCTTCTCAATTTTGTGTGCGAGAGCATCCATTATTTTCTCTCAACAACTAAATCATATTGAAGCTTGGTGATTTTGGATATGATTGAAGAGTTGATCTCTGATTGGTCAGATTGGATTCTTATATGAACCTTCTCAAGAGCCTCCTTCTCAGTGCGAAGGGAAAGACTTAGATTCGAGATTGTTGCATTGGCTTTAGCAGTGTTAGTCTCAAATGAGTTCTGAAAGGCACTCATTAAGGCTTTGGCATCAAAAATTAGTTTAACGACTTTTTCGGTCGCTTCTTTGCAAGTGTTAGCCGAATCCTCCATGACTTTATTTGCCTTCTCTAGGTTCGCAGCATGCTCTTCTAAAGTTCTTTCAGTTAATGCCTTGACTGCTTCTTGGGAATATGCAGTGTTGGATGAAGTGTTGGAAGATAGGATTAACCAATCCAGATTGTCATTAATGGCTTTGAATTCTTTTGAGTAACTAGAGCATCATTTTTACTTTCCTCAATGACAAGAAAAGGACTAAAGGTGAAATCTTCGAAACTTAAATCACCTCCAAAAAAAGTCTCCAGATCATCCTACCTTAGTGGAGAAACGGGTGGTGTTTAATGACCGACTGAGTAGCCTGAAGCCCTTGCCCCCGCATTAGATGCGTTGACAGTAACTGGAGGTTTGTCAGTAGTAGTAGTTGTAGTTGTGGTTGAAATAGTGCAGAGTGGTATGGATTGCGCGATAGTGGTATACATCTGCGAGACCCCTCACTAATAGCACAATGTGACATAATGTAAGTATAAGGACCAAACGTGTAACAAATTTACCATTTAATGACTGCATAGATGGAAAACACGACTTAGGGACTAAACGTCCAAATACCAATATAACACAGGAACCATTCGTGCTATTTACTCTTTTTATTATATATAAGAAAAATTTATATTATGGATCTATTTTTTATTTTTCACATACGGTTTTCAAAATTAACATATCGATCATGGGTGAGTGGTAATTGAAGCTCGTGTTTGTGTGGTGAAATGTCTCAAGTTTTTAAGGCATTAAAGTATGTTAGATATTATATTATTACTAGGCGAATGCCCGTACGTTGCGCAGAATCATCTATATAGTTGAAATCCTTACAAATATATGTTTTTTTAAATATAACAATAATGTTGTTATTAAATTTGATATAATAATTTATATATTAAGTTGATATAATATATTGATTATTTTGAATTGTATGATAATATGCACGTCTATTAAAACTACATAATCTCAATCTTTTAAATGACCACTACATGCGGGTTACTCATGAATTAAATTAAATATAATATGTGGTTTAATGTTATTTATAGTTTTGTTATTGCTAATTAATTTTTTAAAATTTATTTGCTTAGGGTTTTATTTTCTATCATTGTAATTATTTAAAACATCAAATAATTTTTTTTTATTTTAAAGGTAAGAATATAATCATTTATGTAAAGTTATTTTGAACTATTGTTTGTTGTAAGTTATTTTAAGTTACTTATTTGAAAACTTTTAACGATTATAAAAATATCTTAAAAAAATATTTTAGTTAAACTGATAATACAATTTAATTTTTGCATTTAACACTATAATTAATCACTTTTAACTATTCAAAAAATATTATTTGAGCATTTTAAATGGAACTGAAATTTATATTAATGTAGACACTATAATGTTATATATTCAAATTAACAACTTAAGTATTTTGTCCAAATTGTTCAAAAGTTGTAGTTTTAAATTAATAATGGTTTACATATAACAAAATATTAAATCTAATAAATTAAGTATAATATGTTAAAAGTTAAAGACATAACTTTATAAGTAAAAGTAAAAAGATTATTTTAATATTAAAATTTAGTTTATTTATGATTACACTTTTGGTTTGATACTTATTTAACATTATCAACCAACTTTCAATCATTATTAGAAAGACACTACAATTTATCATTTTTAAGTATTTACAAAATATTCTTTGGTTTTTAAGTTGAACTAAAATATATATTTAAGTTGACCTATAAGGTTATATTTAAATCAACAATTTAAGTATTTTATACAAATTGTTCGAAAGTTATAGCTTTAAAATGATAATGGTTTACACACAACAACATATTAGACCTAATAAATTAAGTATAATATGTTAAAAGTTAAAAACATAATTTTATAAGTAGAAGAAAATATATTCTTTTAATATTGAAATTAAATTTATATATAATTACACTTTAGGTTTTATATTTATTTAACGATATTAACCAACTTATAATCATTATTAGAAAGAAATTAAAAAGTCATGGGAGTTTCAAATGAATGTGGTGAAAGGAAAAATGAATGGAAGTTTCAAATGAATGTGATGAAAGGAAAAATGCTTCCTTTATAAGTATATATAATGATAATGATGATTAAAGAAACGATCAAAATAAGGTATATGTTAGGGATATTATTTAGTGGATTTATTATATTTTTGTTTAACCGATAAATCTTTATTAAATTATATAATAATAACTATTGCAATATATTTAATGCGTGTTAGTCGTTTAATTAGCTGTAATCTTTTACTTTGTTTCATTGTTTGGCTTTCTTAGTTTCTTGTCCATATTTGGTATTTTGTTTTCCGGTATGTAATTAATTTTTTATATGCCTTTAGTTAGTTATTGGCTATTCTTTAGCGATAGATTTGGTTTGCAAGGTTTATATTCAATGAGTGTCATATAATTTGGGGACGATAAAAGTATAATTTCTTTTTTGTTTTATTGAAAGGCAACGACAAAAACAGAGAAAAAGAGGCATACCATTAAAAAAGTATAATATACAATAAAAAAAGTAATTGAGTTGTGTAACCACACCCTTCGTATTAACTTACTTAGCATTTCTACACTCATCACATCGTTTTCTGCTTTCTCACCTCTACTTTATGTTGCTTTTTTTTTTTTAATTTATGATACGACTAGAATATTAAAGACTAGTTTTTAAAAAGTTTCTTCCAAATACAAGTCGAAGCAATAGCATATAAATTTACAAAGATCAACCCATGGGGAATAATCTACACCATACTAGCACATGAAAGCCTGTAATTTCACAAACAATCACAATAAAATAATAAAATATTTGAAGGTTCATTGTCTTTCACTACTAGAAAAAAGAGTTACCTTGACAGACGAATAACGACGTACAACAGTTTTATGACAGACATAAAAATCTCTGTCATTAAAGTCTCTTATTTCATAAAATCTAAATGATCTATGACGGACAAAACTGTCTGTCATACATTTATGTCGTATGTTAATTTGTTAAATTTAAATAAAAAGGTAACAAGAAGCATTTTAATGTATGAATTGATTTGCTGCTTACGAGTTATAGGATATGGAAAAAAATTATATATATATATATATATATATATATATATATATATATATATATATATATATATTACTTTAATTCTTAACATAATTAAGAACAATTCACTACCAGAAAAATAGTCTTTTACGACGCACAATGTGTGTCGTAAAACGCTCAGACGATGTGCAAATGCGTGTCAAGAAAGGCCCTGTCATAACGAGAGATGGCACACTTTTGCTCGTCGTCTATGGATGACGCGCATTTATGACACGCATTTACGACACGCAGTGCATATAAAGGAAGGCCTTGTTATAAAAGAAGACGACACACATTTGCGTGTCGTAACCTTATGACGCGCGTTTAGGACACACATTGTGTGTCATTAAAGCCCATGTCATAAATGAAGATTACCTGTACAGCGTGTCATAGTTATATATATATATATATATATATATATATATATATATATATATATATATATATATATATATATATATATATATATATATATATATTTGATAGAATTACTAATTTTCAAATTAAACAATAGGTTGAAATTATCATAATACAAAATAAAATACCATACATAAGAACGATAATTCATTTCCAATAAAATATCACATGTCAAACAAGTTATCTAACATTACATGTCAAACAACACTACATGTAAACACTAATAACACTTAAAAACATGCTTTTTCCTACATTTGGAGCACCCACTATTCCTGTATCAGCAACCAACTTTAGGTACAATTCCAACCACCTGTAAAAGAACAACATTAGAAGATCAATATTTTCTTGAGAATATAAATATGAGAATATATATATATATATATATATATATATATATATATATATATATATATATATATATATATATACATAGCTTATGTGTGAAGGAAAATTGAGTTAACTTACCAGCATCAATATGTATGCTAATGTGCCTTGGGATACTGCTAATTCCAATAGGAATATATGCCCCAGGATTTGCATTTGCATGACTATCAAAAAGAGAATTGGTTTGCATGACAAAGAAATAGTAGTACTAAAAGATGTCTTCACCTTTGATCCTGAATGTAAGTGTCTTGCTAACCATGGTTCTAACTTCAGCATCAGTCATCTTACTTCGTGCATATCCACATATTGTGAAATGTTGTCAACAGTTAGCAAATATAAAACAATTAAATCCAAATGGTAAATGGGTTGAAATCTTGAATTCAAGGTATGAGAAAGAACACAAACCTCAGGGAGGCAACCTTCATAATAAAGAGCAAAAAGTGCAGGAAGTATCTTCTTTTTTGCAAGATCAAAAAATAACATTTCTAGTTTCTATCCATCTTCTCCATAGCAAAATAGCAACCTGGTTGGTTGTTATTGGAATCTGCATCAGCATCTGCTATCTGAGGTTCAACATCGACTTCTTCTTGATTCTCTTCTTGGAACTCGGTCAAATCAATCTCAGTTGACTCCACACTATAGGCTCCATACATAATTAGTGATACATATGTTTAAAGGCTATTACTATTCTACAACAATCAATAAACAAAACATGCCTATTACTGAAGTTTTTAGAAGTCTTGTTGCTAATTTAACATAGCAAGGGTAAACCTGAAACAGAATACACACAATTTGGAGCAAACTTAGCAAACAAGTCACAAAAGATTGCAAAACACTTAAAAAGGTGTTTGTTTGCTACAAAAGGATGAAAAGACCAAGATAGGACATCATATAACTGGTTTCGGTTAATTTTTCTTTACCTCATCATCGAGGTGACACCTGGAAATTGCCTCTGAAAGTCGGATTAGAGCCTCCAACTATCTAACTGTCATGCTATATGCCACTCTACTTCCTGGAGCTGTATCTCCTTTAGGAAGAGCAACATAAGAATCAACAAAAGATTTTCTTGTTTCTGCACTTAGCTGCACTAAAATTGACAACATGTAAGAAAAGATAAGATAATAAGATGATAAGAAAATCAGACGGACCTTTGGCTTTTTAGACTTGGCAACTTGAATGTAACACTTGAGTTGTGCAGTGGTGAAGGCAGGAGCAACATCATTTTCATGCTTTTGATGAACCCTCACAATGTGAGAGGCGATAAGATGATAAGATGATAAGAAAATCATCACTTTTGATACTGACAGTAAACTTGTCTTTATCAAAATCAAAGCTTCTAATGTCTTTGACTTCTTCTGGGGTGGTACGGATAATATCCCATCTTTCAATATCTTAACAGGATCATCACTTTTCAACAGGGGATGTTTTCATGTTTGTAGCACCTATATATATATATATATATATATATATATATATATATATATATATATATATAAAAGATTAGGAGATAAAATTATAAATTAAAACTTATATATGTTATGGTGAACATGTACAGTTTTTTTTTCTCACAAGGATCTATAATAATAAAGCTTGAACGATAAATGTTGAAAACCTTATAACATCCTAATTTGAATATAAATAATTACATATCATCTCTAAATTATGGATTTGAATGCAAGAAGAACAAAAAAGAAATTAAGAAAAATAGAAACTTGCCTAATATCATCTCACAAAGATCTATACTCCGTTAAACCACGAGCAAATAACCTTCATAAATCAACCAATTAAAACAAATCCAGAAAGAACGGAAGACAATAAATTATGGCATCCATAACAAAATATATTGTTTTAGGAAATGACATGCACATTTGAAAACCAATGATGAACAAAAAGGATTTTAACAACTTGTAACTTACCCATCCCCAACATCAGTGAAATGAAATGGATTTGCAACAGATGCAGGGGGTGGATTATGTGGAAAAGGGGATAGATTGAAAATTGGAAATAATGTAAGGGTTAATCTTGGAATTTCTTGGTACTCAAGCAATCGACTGGTTCTTAGACCTTTCAACAGCTGTAGCAAGAATCTACAAGCCAAATAGAAACATTGTCAATATATGAAACAATGGTTAGCATAACAACTTGAAGTTACAACTTACAAGCCAAATAGAAACATAAAGTAAGTAAATTTTGACATACCAATTGAAGAATCATCTATATAGCTTCCAACTAAACTAAGTGGGGCCACATCTATGATAGATAACAAATTATCACTAACCAAAGGCACCCAGAAGAAGTGACCATGCATAGAAGATGATATAATTGGTTAAGTTCAAACTCCAAATTGTCTAAACAGTAATATAAATAAAGGGAAACGATATAATAACAAAAGTTAAATTAAGTTTAACCTATGTGTAGTTTGAAACTCTAGTAGAAGAACAAAAAAGAGACCTTTCATACGCACAAGATATACCTAGAATATAAATTAGGCATGCATGAAGCACAAACAAAGATCTTAAACCTAATAAAGGCACAACATAAACCATAATCTAGTTCCATTCTACATGAAAGTAACCTGCCAAAAGTATAAATTATAGCATTAAAATGTAGAGCACAAACCTTCAATCAAATCAAGTATCAGAAACAAAAGAAGAAACAAGAACAAAAAACCAAGCTAAGGTTGTGTGGCTCTAAACTTATGTGCTCCTTCAAAAACCGTTTTTCAAACCAACTCCTGTAATAAAAAAATACTACATGTTTAATTTGAGTAGCAATAGACATGGTCTACTAACAAAACCTCCAAAATAAAAAAAATTCAAACCTAGTATCGATGGTAGATTAGTGCAAAAGAAGAGTTGAGGTGTCAAATTGTGACAGGAGAAGAAGACGTTGACTTAATCAAACCCAGCATTCCTCCTGTCAAAATGATCAAACTCATGTCTTCCAGCATCTAAAGACTTTAACAGCCTCATGCAACGATGTTTTTATCAGCCTCAAATTTTCATCAGCCTGGAATGGAATAAATTGATATTGGTAGTTTGAAGGAAAGAAAGAAATGTAAAGTCTAATTCAAAGATCAAAGTGACACCCTACCTTTGCATTCCTCCTGTAAAAATGATCCAAAGCATCATACAATAAATATGTTGGTTCTGTACTCCCAATCTTAAAGATAGATTCAGTAGAAGATGGGACCCGTTGAAGAAACTCCATGTTTAATTTAGTCAATATCCTAGCTCCATCACACTCTAGGATAAGGATAATGGGTTCATCATAAAGATAGCGAACTAGATCTCCATAAGGGCCCACCATCAGAAGCATATCATCCCAATACAGCAATACACTGTCCATTCCACACCAAACAAGTTGCTCTGGAGTTAGGGTAGAATGTAGAAGAAACAAAAAAAAAAAGAAATCGTTATATAAGGAAAAGATAATGAAACCTGATTGAAGCCTTAAAGTTACAGGGACGTCAAACTAAAGACAGAAAGAAGAAACATTTTTTTGTGAGAGAAGAAACATGAAGAATGTACCTTTTATTGATGTGCTCCAAACTCTTAAAGCTTATCGGGTTCGATGTTGGTGGTGCAACTTAGGGCTTGCACACACACACACACAAAGAGAGAGAGAGAGAGAGAGTGTGTGTGTGTGTGTATGTGTGTGTGTGTGCACAGGTAAAGGAAAACGAGCCGATTCAAAAGGATGTGTTGATTCAAAAGGATTATTAGGGTTCTATTATAGGATTTTAGTTGTAATGCCCCGATTCTCATGTATTGCTTAAATAAGATTTATTGGGTTAAGCTCTACTCGGCGGGTTGGTTGACCTACTCACTGAGTAGCAGCTGGATAAGATCGCGTGTTAAGTGACCTACTCGACGAGTACAAATTGGGACTCGGCGAGTAGGAGGTAGCAGATGAAACCCTAAATCCCGGGGTTTGCACCTCTATTTAAAGGAGCCTTAGCCTCCTTTGGCCTCTTTGCAGTCTTTGATATCCCCTTAAAACCCTAATTCGTGTGTGTGTGCCTTGATGTGGTGTTTGAAGCTTGGAAAAGAGAATCTAGGAGGAAGAAAGCTAAGAGTGCAAAGGAAATTGAACCAAGGAAGGAGTGGGAAGCAGGATTTACCTCAGCTAACATCCTTTGGAGGTATCAAAGTGCCATCCTTACTTCCCTTTTTCCCTTTTGTTGAGCTTCTAGGGCTTTTTATGGATTTTCTAGTTGGTATAATGAGCTATGGGCTAGATTTGAAGTTGTAACTTTAGATCTGGACCCTCCTTGGATTATAGAAGCATAAAGTCACACTCTTGGTTGTGATTAAGGTCCCTCTTGAGTATGAAGTTCCATTAAGAACTTCAACTAGGCATTTAGAGCCTTTATAGACATGCATGCACATAAAGTTTGCAAGTTTACGTGATAAGCATGCCCTACAATCTTGGATCTATGAGTTGGAGCCATTGCATGGCTGAAAACAAGTTTGTATGGAAAAAGGACTGAATGGACTCGGCGAGTCGCAAGGTTGACTCGACAAGTCACATGAAGATGGCCGTGAACTTGACGAGTTGATGAACAACTCGGCGAGTCCAATGAAGATTGTCATAAGACTCGACGACTTGAAGAACAACTCAGCGAGTTAGATGAGCTTTCTCTTGGATATGTATGAGTGTGTATCTGTCAAGTTGCAAGGAGGGAACTCGACGGGTGGCCTTAAAGTTTGATCGAGAATCAAAAGAACTCGACAAGTCACTCCGATAACTCAGCAAGCTAGAATGTACTTCAGGGAACTCAGCGAGTAGCCAAGGGTACTCAGCAAGTTAAGGTCAACATGACCTGGTGACCTTGACTAAGGACTTTGACTTTAACCAAGGGTTGACTAGTGGGTTATGGAGTACCTTATAAGGTTAAGGAATTATGAGTATGACGTACTATGATGATAGGTGGTGGAGCCTGTGTCAAGTGATCCGAGAGTTGGAGTTTACCTTTTGTGTCAACATATGCAAGGTGACTTATCCTCACAATATCGATAGGGTCTACGACACCAAGACCGAACCTTTAGTTGTTATTGTTATGGTATGCTACATGTGGTTATGATCTGTTAGATCGGAATCGGGGTAGACAGTATGTTATGCTCTTATGGTCCGTAGGGATTAGTATGTTAGTGACCTGCTAGGTCGGTACTATAGTTACAGGAGAATTCTATGATTGATGATCAGTGTGACAGATATTTTTGATGTTTGTATATGTATGTATATGATAGTATGCACACATGGTTATTTGATTGTGGTTGGGTTGAGGCGGTCCTGGTTTGTGTTGAAGGCCAATATACCCTATGAGCAGTCCGGGGAGACAATAGGCCCACGTGGCAGACCAGTCATGCCGAACGCTTACGATAGATTCAGGCAGACTGTAGGCCCGGTAGGGCGTTCCAGTCAGACCAATGGCCCAGCATGCATGTTGATTGATTGATTATTACTGATATGGTATTGTCAGTGTGGTATTGGTATTTTGGGGGTAGCTCACTCAGCCCTCGGGCTTACAGTTTTCAGTTTACTGTTTCAGGTACTTCAGGAGATCAGGGAAAGGCGAAGGCGTGACCGTACCGCTCCTTATCCTTATGTTATGATTTTTGGGACACTCTGATGGAAAATGATTTGAAAACATTTCGTAAACAATGCTGTTTGGTTTTTAGTTATGATTGAAAAAGTTTAAATTTGGCGTAAAATTTATGGATGTTAGACTAGTGTGTATTGAGTTTTTAAGGTTCAATGGCGGTGGCAGCGGTGATGGCTTTGGGTTACAAAGAGAAGGAAGGAGTGAATGAAAAGGGAGATACTGAGGAGAGAGGGTAGAAGAGGGGTTCTTCAAAATTTTAGAATTTCAGAGGATTTCGTTTTCCCCCTTTAAAAACGCGCGCTTAGGCAAATATATATATATATATATATATATATATATATATATATAATATATATATATATATATATATATATATATATATATATCTTAATTACCTTATAAAGCACTTTTGGTCAAATGCTGAATTTTAAGTCGTACGAACATACAATGCATTTGTACAATCAATTTATGCATTACAAAAATAGTAGAGTACATATGGTCAACACTTGAAAAGGTCAAATCTATTATCCCCTATTTTTAGGCTATTTTTACCCGGTTCATTCCTTATCTCCGTATTTCCCCAAATCTCTCACTTTTTGTTCACAAATCTTGGATATATATATCACTGACGTTTCCATTTCAAGGGTTTAATTCATCTTTCAGCATTCAACCACCATTGTCACACCCGTCGCTTGGCGCGGGTAAACGGCTAGTGTGTATATATATATATATATATATATATATATATATATATATATATATATATATATATATATATATATATATATATATATATATATATATATATATAAAGCGACACATTTAGAGGACACACATTTTATGAAAGGCACCCTCCGCATTTCTTTTTTTTCTTTTTTCTTTTCTGACACTAATTTTACGGCACGCACAAATGCTTGTCCACTATCCTTCAAATTTTGCAAAATTGACATTATTTTTTAGAGCACACACCAATGTGCGTCCTCTATTAGTGAGTGTCATTGTTTGTGCATCATTAAAGGGCTATTTTCTAGTAGTGATTTACTTCTTTTGTTTCGTATTTTGACAAATTACTTTGCTTCATTCCATTATTTGTCAATGTTTTCGGTTTTTGATATTTTGATCACCTTAATTTTCTCGGTTGCTATAATTTATCCCTGTTTTTAATCTGTTTCATATTTTGAACAAATTACTTTGCTCCCTTGCCATAATTTTTCCATGTTTTTTAGTTGTTGATATTTTGATCACCTTATTTTGCTCAGTTGCTATAATTTGTCCATGTTTTATATTGTGTACATTATTTTCACTTTTGGTTCAACCGGCACATATGACTCACTTCCCTCTTTTCCCTCTGTTTTCCACATTACTTGTTTCTCTTTGATCGATACTAATTTTGTATAACCGGATCAAGTGATGGTGTATTTTGTTCATTTTATAAATGCAAAATGATTTTAGGGTTTTTGTAAAAGAAAATCTCATAGAGGTACTGTATTTGTTTAAGATACTAAACTAAGGAAAATTTAGGGCTTTTAATTGCCCTTGACTTCAACGATCGGGAAAGAAAAGTGGCATACAAACAGATGAGCTTATGAACGATCATAGTGAGGGGGAAAACACGAAATTAGGAGGGGTTCGATGGTTCTTCAACTATCGGTAGGTTGGGCGTCGTCAGAGGCTGTCCTAGGCATCTAGCTCGACCGAGAAGAGAGGAGAGTGAAGACTCATAGTGGCTAATCCAGAAGCCCTAACCGATCACAAAGAAGGAGAAGAGACGAAGTCAATGATGCCTTCTCTTTCTCGTTTGATGGTTTTAGACCCATCGCACTCGAGTGGCGAGCTCAAGTAGTCGACTAGATCGAAGAAGGACGTGGGCAGAAGTAGTGGTGGTACTTTGGGGTTGGCGAACGAGAGTGAGAAGCGATGGAAAAGGAGGTCACAATCCTTGGGCTGCTCGCGAAGTTGAAGAGGCGTTTGATCGACTGGAAGGGGGACATTTGGCCCGATTGAGCAAGGCAAGCGGAAACAGAAGCTCCGATGGGGGGTTTTGGCAATGGTACTCGATAGAAGAAGAAGAACGAAGTTGTGGTGGTTCATGAAGAGACATGTAATCGTATGGGTTTGCTTCTGCATCTCCTTTGTTCTTTCTTTTTCTCTTTTTTTTTGTTAATTTTGATGGAAATTGATGGGGCTTTTGGATTGACTTTATTGTTTAACAGTAGTGGATATAACCTAAGTGGGTGTTTGGGTTCCTTGAAATCGATAGGAAGAAGATGAAAATTACATGTGTATGTGTTTGATGTTTTGGTTTTAGTTTGACAGGGAAGGAAACAAAAACGTGATGTTGTTGTTTCTGTTTGCAGGTATACCCTAGAACAAGAACAAAGTGTTCTTGTGTTCTTGGCTGAAATCGGTGAGAAAGAAAGAATTTTGGATGTTTAGGTTTTGCTATTTGACAAGGAGGATGAAGAACTAAATGATTGATACAAGTTGTTTTGTTCGATTCTTAAAATTTTAGTATTTCTTTTGTATGTGGGTTAGTATAAACTGAAATTAGAAGCAAAATGTGGGTAAAGTGATTTACTATACTTCAAATAAACGAAAGTGATTTTCTTTTCTTACAGTTTTTGTATTTCTTGCTTATGTACTTTCTCTCCACTTTTCTTTTTTTCTTCGTCAGGGACTTGATTATTATGCTTAACCTTTCAGTTGACCAGGCTTAATGCTCATCTTACAAAGATCTGGG